AGAATTCTATTAGAGAAAATCTGAGAATGTCCTATTGGTATAATGGTTAGGGCATTTGTCTTGGGGGTGCTGTCTTTTCTCAGGAAATTGTACTGGCACAAGCCTGACTATTCTCTACCACTTGAGCCAAGCTTACTAGATAAAGTGACTGTAATTACACAAGATGGTGATGGTTCAGTTATCAGTCTATGTCTTGGTCTCAGCTTCTCCTCCCAGACCCCTACACTGGCACCAGAGAGGTATTTCAAAAATCTAGTATTTCCTTGCTTAAAATCTTCCTGTGTAAGAGCCTCCCCAGACCCTTTTATGTGTAGATTCAGTGGTCCTGTTTCTTCTGTATTTGGGCATGCCTATAACACAATACTCATGCCCACACTGTCTATGTAGATTTGTGGAACTTGCATTGTGACAGGTACTGACTTTCAGTTTTATATCCCTAGAGCCACCTTGAACACAGTAGACCCATGAATAGATGTCTTCAAATATTTATTCCCGACATTATTTTTTATTTAGTGATATCTTATAAATGTTTTGGCCCCACCCTTTAAATAAATTAACAGGAGGACATGGGCCTGTTGCTCAGCTCTCAAGTTGTCCAGAAATACAGATTTCCATGAAAGTCAAGCAAGAAGACAGATGTTATGTAATTTCAGGCAGTGCTAATTTGCATGCTTGTGGGCACCCTATTTTATGTAATTGTCCATAAAAATGTGGCATGGAATCTTCATTATTTTTAATATACATAGCACATGCCCATCCAAATTTAAAAATGTAAGCAAATCTACTTTTTTACTCCCAAATATTTAATCACTTTAAGACACTTTTGATATTACAGCTTTTGTCCTTAGGTGGAGCTGTTAAAGTTAAATAAGTGTGAATATCTGTACGGTTTTTGCAAGAGTGCATGTACATTTTATATATTGCAAGAAAGGCATAATTAATAGCTAATTAGGATAATGAAAGTAATATACACCAGATGTAGAGAAGACCTTGTGGAAAATTAGTATGAATTAGATAGCATGTGATTTGGTCAAAGCAAGCTTGTTGAGAAGAATTAAAACAGTGGACATGTGGAGGGACAATCAGTGGCTGTCTAGCTCCTATACCTAGGGAATAATTTAATCAAGTTTGCTATTGTAATACTCAGGGCTTCAAGCTGTTTCATTTTCACAAGTCAATAACTTGGGATTTGGCCTTGATTTTCAGCATTCCTATATGGTCAAGGTTTCATGTTGAGATGATCACTTACCAAGTAATTTAATAAATGCATCTCTGTATAAGAATGGAAAAGTAATCAGAGATCTTGAGTACTCTGATTCAGGCTCCAAATCTTCTAAACACTGTTGAATAAATAGAACTCTATTCCTTGTTCTATAACTAATTTTCTATTTAATGTTGATTGATTGGCAGTAGTTCAGTTTTCTTATTCCTCCCAAATGTTCACCAGAATCTCTTATTCTAGGAAACTGAAATTTAGTAATTTCTTGGTTGGCTTATATACCTGCATTTTGAAGCAACATATAAATCTTATGTCTGCTTCACAGACATTGTCATTTAACCGTCACAACAATAAGGTATAGGTATAACCACCATAATTGTTATTATTTCCATTTTCAGATAAGATAACTAAGCTGGAAACAAGAAACTTGTCCAATGTTACATAGATAATAAGTGGTGGACCCCAGATTTGAACACCAGTTCTCTACCTTCATACCACTATTGCTTTTAAGCACTAAATACATAAATTGATAATGTTGTAAATGAAAAGAGGAAGAAAAGATTACATCCTTTTTGTTTGTAATTACATAAAGACATAGAAAAGATATAGTCCTTTATGTGGTATGTGTCATCTTTATTAAATTACTTCATTGATTTTTATCAAAAGTTACTATATAAATAATATAGCAACACAGCAATAATTTGTGTGATAGGGATTTTTTCTATATTCCTTAAGGATTATTAATTGATGAGCTTTGAAGATAATCTATTCCTTATTTGCTTTGAAGCAGTAATATTTAAGCCATATTGCAATCCTGAAATGTCTATAGATAAATAGAAACCTGGTCCACTGACATTACCCAGTAGGAGGTCTGTCAATTGCAGTGTCATGGGCCTACTCTGAGGAACTCATCTAGCATAATATAAACCTCAATTGTGGTTTGATATATTTAGCCTGGGTGAAAACACTTGACTCTTTAATGGTCAAGAGGGAATTTGTTGAATCTGTTTTTTTTTTTTTTAATTACATTTTAGGTTTTGGGGTACATGTGAAGAACATGCAAGTTTGCTGCATAGGTACACACATGGCAGTGTGGTTTGCTGCTTTCCTCCCCATCACCTATATCTGGTATTTATTCCCATGTTATCTCTCCCCAACTCACCACCCCCTGCTGTCCCTCCCCTATTTCCCCCTGACAGACCCCAGTGTGTGATGCTCCCCTCCCTGTATCCATGTGTTCTCACTGTTAGGAAAGACATCACAGTCTGTGACCAATTCTTCACATTATCTCCTGAGTATAGCAATAATTCTAATACCAAGAAAAGCAAAAACTGCATATTTTCTCCACTAGCTTCTGTGTAGGTGGGCTATATGTGCTGATGTGAACTGCTCTCTCACATCCTGAGATCATTTCTACTTTTAATTTTTTCTGTACTTAAGATCTTATTTTATAGATTTATTTTCAACATGTCTTACTTTATGTAATTTCTCAATTGAATTCTGTTATAAATCCTCTTAGGTTACTTAAGTAGTAAAATCTTATTAGCTTGCCCTTTTAGATAAGGAGGAGTCTATTTTGTTGAGTACACTTTGAAAATCACATTTCTGTCTGTGGAGGGCTTGAATAGGTGCTAAGAGACACTGTGTTTTATATGTTACCTGATTTTCATATACACTTGTCCAGCAGTATCCATGGAAGACTGGTTCCAGGACCCCACTCGGATACAAAAATCCAAGGATCCTCAAGTCCCTTATATAAAATGGTGTCATATTTGCATATAACCTTTGTAAATCCTCTCATATACTTTAAATCATCTCTAAATTACTCATAATATGTAATACAATGTAAATGCTATGTAAATATTGTTATACTGTATTGGTTAGGGAATAATAAAAATCTGTACATATTTAGCACTGATGCAGCCATTTATTTTTTGCCAACTATTTTTGATCCAACGTGGCTGAAACCACAAATGTGGAACTGATGGATACAGAGGGCTGACTCTCTTTGTTTTCATAGACTTCAGAGTGTAGAACACTTTTACCGTCTAGTGAAGTGCTTACTTAATTGAATGACAAATGCTTTCAAAGATATTTTCTTGTTGATTATTTCACTGTGTATAAGCAAATAATGTTGAAGATAATGTGGAATTTTTTTAACGAGGCTAGCAAACAAATGAAAAGGTAAAATCATTTTTAAGTTGATAGAAAATATTTTTAAAAGAAAATGTCTGCATATAGAAATAAAGGTTAAAATATAAGAATTGACAATCAGTTGTGATAAACTGGTGACAGAAGACAATAAATTTTAAAAATTATTTTAAAAAAACCTTGTGACCACGTATAAACAAGAATAGGTATAAGCAATGCTGTGTAAAAATTAGTTAAGATATCAAGTTGAGAAGAACATTATGCAGAGCAAAATGGATTGTGAATGGGTTACAATTTCTGTGTAATTGGTAAACAAATCCAAGAGTTCTTTGTTTGTGAAGTACAAAAGCACAATCAACTTTAAAAAAAAAAAAAAAATGTCCAGGTGCACTGGCTCAAGCCTGTAATCCCAGCACTTTGGGAGGCCAGGCAGGTGGGTCACTTGAGCTCAGGAACTTGAGACCAGTGAAACCCCGTCTCTATTAAAAATACAAAAATTAGCTGGTTGTGGTTGTGTGCGCCTGAAATTCCAGCTACTCAGGAGACTGAGGTGGGAGGATCACTTGAACCCAGGAGAGGGAGGTTGCAGTGAGCTGAGATCATGTACCACTGCCCTGAAGCTTGGGTGACAGAGCAAGACTCAAAAAAAAAAAAAAAAAAAAAAAAAAAAAAAAAAAAAAAAAAAACAAACTATAACAACTAATAAGAATATCAGTAAAATGACCATTGTAGATGTACAGATTAAATTAGATGTACAAAATAAATACTTTTCCCATATACCACTGATTATGTTAGAAAATAAAATAGAAAAGTTCCATAAAGAAAAAAAAGGGCTGGGTATGGTGGCTCAAAACCTGTAATTCCAGCTCTTTGGGAGGCCAAGACTGGAGGATCCCTTGAGCCCAGGAGTTCAAGATCAGTCCGGGCAACATTGTAAGACCCTGTGTCTATAAAAATGAAAAAACTGGCTGGGCATGGTGGCGCTTGCCTGTAATCTTAGCTACTCCAACGGCTGAAGCAGAAAGATTGCTTGAGCCAGTTCAGAAATGTGGTGAGCTATATTGTACTCCAGTCTGCTGACACAGAGATATCCCATCTCTTAAAAAAAGGAAAAACTACT